GGAGGAGAAGAGTATCCCATGGATATTTGGCTATTGCTGGCCTCCTATATCCGTCCTGAGGACATTGTGAATTTTTCCCTGATTTGTAAGAATGCCTGGACTGTCACTTGCACTGCTGCCTTTTGGACCAGGTTGTACCAAAGGCACTAGATGCTGGATGCCTCTCTGCCTTTGCGCCTGCGACCAGAGTCCATGGAGAAGCTGTGCTGTCTCCCGGCATGTGTGATCCGATCTCTGTACCATATGTATGAGCCATTTGCTGCTCGAATCTCCAAGAATCCAGCCATTCCAGAAAGCACTCCCAGCACATTAAAGAATTCCAAATGCTTACTTTTCTGGTGCAGAAAGATTGTTGGGAACAGACAGGAACCAATGTGGGAATTCAACTTTAAGTTCAAGAAACAGGTATGTAGTCGTATCTTCTTGTTGTTTTTCAGGCACTATGCTGTTCTAATAAATTTCACTAGGCATAAAATTGCCTTATTAAAATCAAATAGTACACATCAGAACTTACAGAAATGCCCTGAGAAGAAAAGGAAGGAGGAATTACCCTATACGAAAGAGACCTCATGGTACAATAGTGTAATGCAAAGTGGGCGCTGAATCGGGGAACAAAGAGCTATAAAAGACACATGGGAACAATTCAAGAAATTTGAGGATGCTGTGAATATGAGATGATAGGAAATTGTTGTTAATTTCTTAGGTATGACGGTGACACTCTGGTTATATGTGTCTTCATCCATGCTGAATAAGGTGGTGCATCAGTGCTGCTTTCAGATGCCTTTGCCCCTTCTGCCCCCAACGTGCGTGTGATTTGTTTATGTGTGTATACATAACATGAGAGAGAGGTGGGAGGAGAGAAAATGGAATATCTAATGATAGAGGGTATACAGGAGTTTATTGCACTCTTTTATTACCTTTTCTGTATAGTTGAAGACTTTTTAAACATGGGAAAAAGGGGAAAACTTGTTATAACAATGTACTGGGGTTGTTTGCCTATCACTTTTTGTTTTTCAAAGCAAATGTATTTGCAAACAACAGTGATTTGTATGGTTTTACACCTGAGGCCGTGTGGGGAGGCCCTGAGGAAAGGGGCTGCCAAGAGGCTATGTATAAGAAGAGGAGATAGTATTCTACTCTGTCTCTGCCTTTTGCTTGGACTATACCTGAGATCTTGGCCTCTGTGAGGGTCTGCTTTGCTTGTCTTTACTTCTTGTCCTCAGCAGGCTCATTTCTTCCTTCTGTCTCCCCTACTTAGTATCTTATGAGGAGATGCATTATAAATGCGATTAGTTATCCTGCACTTGATGGTAGGTGAGTTACAGATAGGTTTATAATGAAAGTAAATAATATTTTTCCATTTGATTTTTTTTTTTTTAAACGTGGTTTTAAGGAAGAATTTTGGCTCTAATCATTTGATGTTAATAATAGGTCCTCAATCTGTGATACCCATTAGATGTTGATAGAAGGTCCACCATGGGATGTTTCTGGGAAGGAGCTTCAGGGCAGTCTCAGCAGTGTTCCAGCTGAGACCGGAATTAACTGCAGAAAGGTGAATGCTGAGATTTCCTTTAGTTCTGAGACTCACGACTCTTTTATTTATGGTGACTGGAATTAGACGGCCACTTCTGCTTCTGTCCCATTTGTGCAGCAGACGTTCTTTGGAGTCCAACAAGTCACAAGGAATTTGCAATCTTTCAAACATTGGAGAGCTTCTGATAGAGCTATAAGTTTCCATTTCTTGCCAGAAGGCCGGAAATCCCGCCTAAATGAAGCATATACCCATTGCCACATTGCTTATCCTAATGTGTTTCCTCTTCTTTCAAAAGGCAGGTTTTCCTTGATCTGTATAGAAACCAATATGTCTATAAAGAGAGGAGGTGACAGAAGAGGGATCTCATCCTTTTGTTGAGCCATAGGACTTTCACGGGTGGAGTCTTAGAGCCATGAACATTTCCTCTAAGCTATGAGAGTAATTCTCAGTTCTGTTCAGTCCCCTAGATTAAAGAGCAAGTGTATGGGAGGGTTGCAGCCTCCCATTCAGTACGAAGATGTTCATACCAACCCAGACCAGGACTGCTGCCTACTACAGGTCACTACCCTCAACTTCATCTTTATTCCAATTGTCATGGGGATGATATTTACCCTGGTAAGTGGGGACAGCGTGTCATTCTTAGCTCTTTTACATACTCTCACTATACGGAGGGCTGGACAGAAATTTATAAATTTAATCATCGAGGAAGAAATCTTTGAAGAATAATTTTTTAAAAAAAAAAAATTCTGAAAGCAGATTTATATATTAGGAACAGATTTATGGAGGAGTTAATCATATCTGAGAATGTCTTATCTCATTTTTTTTTGCATCTTTGTATAGTTATCGCTAATATTGGAGAAACATCATCCTTTCAGGGATAATATGGAGGCTTATATATGAGCACTGTATGTCAGGACCTTGAGGCATGCTTGTGGTGTCATAAATGGAATACTAAAATGTAGGGTGACCACTTGGTCCCTGTGTGATGGTGACTATTCAAGCCTTAGCCAAGAATTAGATTAGTAAACAACAAATATGTCTCTGGCCTATTTTCCAAGTTTTTAATAATTTTGACTGGATTGGGAACTTGAGAGTTCATGCGATTTATCTTCGCTGTCCTTTAGGCTTATGTTCAGAGCTGCGTGGGGTTCCAACCTCCACACTGAAAATAGTTTTATTCTTTTTTTAATGGTAAAATAAATAATGCATACTTCATGGAAAGAACTTAAATAATACATAAATACATCGAGAAAGGAAAGGTGACCTAGACGTTGACTGTCCTATAACTATTAACTTTTTGGGAGTTGTTCTTTATTGTGTCCATTATTATGTACATGCATACGTCCACTCTCTTAAATAATTTTGTATAATTGAGATTATATCATACATGCTGTGTTGGTTGTTAGGCACCTCTCCCCTCCCTCAAGGTTAAGTCACATTAATGACCTAGTTATATATTCAGATTCCCTGTACTTCATGCTCCTACAGTTCTGTACAGACCAACATATACATAAACATATTTAGAGATTGTGTGGTTTATTTTACCAAACATGTGATCAGATGTATGTTTCATGCATCTTGTTTGACCTGCTCAAAATATCTCATCAGGATGCCTTCAAGTCATTTCGTATAGCTCCCACCCAGTTTTTAAAAATGGACTTCAGTGGTAGTCTGTGTGTGTGTATATCCTGATTTACTCAGCTATTTGAGAAGCTTTCTTTAGCAGAGTTTAAATATGAAGAAATTTCATTTTGTGGCCCAGCCAGTGTAAATTTTGTCTAGACTGTCTTATTTCAGGGTAAGCTGTAGGAAAATAAGGTTGTTGGATTTGGGGACTGAATTTGCTTTTTCTCTGCTAGTTTACTATCAATGTGAGCACGGACATGCGGCATCATCGCGTGAGACTGGTGTTCCAGGACTCTCCTGTCCGTGGCGGCCGGAAACTGCGCAGCGAACAGGGCGTGCAAATCATCCTGGACCCAGTGCACAGCGTTCGACTCTTTGACTGGTGGCATCCTCAGTACCCATTCTCCCTGAGAGCATAGTTACTGCTTCTCGTCGCTGAGGGCAGCCCTGAGCTGGGCCA